TAACACATTACTTTTACTTCAAATAATGTTATTAATGTTATTATATTGTTATAATTTTGTAAAAAATATGTCTAAATAATATCTGTACTACCATATTATTATATGATCCCAAAAACATCATTATAATATTACTTTTAAAAAAGGAAATTAATTAAATTTTAAATGCTTTAATAAATAATTACAAATTAAAAGAAACTGGTTATATTTTATTTAAAGATATAGATAGTTATTATTGCAAACCGTCAAAACGTATTCGCTCAGAATTGAAACAAGGTGATATATCGACTTTAACTAACAATGATTATATATATATATATATATATGTAATATATTATATACACATTGTATGGCCACAATTCGTACGTACCTACTTCTCATAAATCCAGGCTGCAACTCACCAACACCGGTAATATAGTAATATCATTGATATACTATATATCTATATACCATGTATCTAAAAGATATAATGAACTAATTATTCAATTTATTATTAATATATCAATATATTTACCTACTATATATAATACAAATCAATTGATTAACATAATATTTCAATAATCTATGTAGATGGATAATATATACTACCTACCTACCTATGTATATACATGGGTTATCTTAAGAACAAAGTGACAATACTACAATAGTCAAGGTATTTTCTTCATTCAACTAGTTAACTGATGTAATATATAGTCATATTGGTAGTTGATCTACGATCTACTCCATATTTACGTAAAATTCAATCCATTTCATTTTATTTGAAACCTTAAGAGTGTCATTCATAGGCGTGACTAGACTTCATTTACAGAGGCAGCATATTAACTAAACGGCCCAAATTTTTTTTTTTATATTCAAATTTTCCTTAACAATCATAATAATTAAATGGTCTAGACTCTTGATCATAAAATTATTTGGGATAAGTGTTATTAATATAATAATTAAAATATAATATTATTGTACATATTTATACATATATAATAATTATTAGAAAATTATTTTATAAAACTATTTATAAAACTAAACCATTTATTATATTATTAATATAACGCAGGAGTGCAGGACATTAAAAATTTACAAGGAATATATTTATACAATATGCATATATACATATAACATATATATTATTATTAAAGAGCAAGTCTTCTTTTTTGTGAAAAAGTTTTAAATTCATCAATAATGTCCTCTATATCTATGTCAGATACTAATTTTTGCTCAATGAATAAAAATAGCAATGCGTTAAGTCGCTCTTGTCCCATAATGCTTCTTAATTTATTTTTTATAATAGCTAATTTAGCTGCCTCTATTAATTTAATTTTTTTTTTATTTTGATCTTTAGCAGCTCCCCCCAATTGTTTTTTATTATTTTTAAAAACATCCATGATACGGCTATACGAGTATACGAGTATAATGATTACAATAAATTTATAACTTTAAAGTTTAAATTACATTAATACTATTCACCGAAATAAATAACAGAAATACTAAATAATATTATTATGTATGAGCATGAAACAATATTATACGTGTGTGCGATGCGTGTTTCAGTGTTTGTCGCGGACATAAAATCTGTGTACTGTGGTGTTTGTTAATTCTATCGAAAATATTATACATAGTAATTTTCAATATACCTCTATTAATGCATTCTAATAATTTTATTTTTTCACACATTACGATTAGTCTTATTTTTATATCTATACGCTCCAAACTTGTAATTCCTCGGAAGAAGTAATGCGCAAGCAGTCCCCTCCGGCCCACTGGATCATTGATTTAAACAATATAATATGAACTGATTACAGTTTACGATTCTTTTTATATTAGAATAATATGTTAATATGTTATAGTTATGTACAAATATTGCATTTTTAGCAAGGGAAAAACAATATAAAATATCTAATTGAAATAATATTATAATATTTTTCATTTCATAAATTAAGTGCAAATCATCGACCTTTTTAGATATTACAGGGGCAGCACAAGCTGCCCCTGCTGCCCCCGTAGTCACGCCTATGGTGTCATTAGTGGGTAGCTTCTCTAGTTCTCTATACTTAGTTTTCATTATGTTACGCCGTTATCTGTAAACATTACTTACCTATACATTACTTATATTAGTTAATGTGTATCGAGATTGCAACGAATTAAGTCAAAAAGCTCGCAAACGGTAAAATGCTAATATGTTAAAATATCGTTGTAAATTCGAGAAAGATCGCTGACTACTAAAAAAAAATACTATGACAGCAACAACAAAAATTGTACGAACGAACGGTTACCAACTACATTAAATATTTATTTCAATTGGTAGAACAGTTAGTTGCATTACAGTTACAATTTAAAAGTATTATTTCAAAATAAAAAACTATGAAGAATCTTATGAAGTTCTTTAAAGCTTTTGTGAGATGTTGCACGGGATGCATCCGTAAACAGACCAAAGCTACAAAAGAATACAAACCGGCTGAAGAGGAGCAAGGACCGATGAAATTCGTTGAAGCACAGAGCGAGTATGAAGAAAAGCGAAGTCAAACGGAAAATTTGCAGAACAGCAACGTCAGCGGTGACAGAGGGCCTGTATACGAAGAGAAAACATGTCAGATTGGAGACGTGAATAGCGACGGCGGCAGTGGCGGGCCCGAGTTGTGCGGCGATGAACACGACGTGATGGTCGGCCACGAAGTGGTCGGAAAGTATTACACCGCACGCTGTACAACTCGCCGCAAGACGTGTGCAGGCGGTTGTATGCTTGGAGGCCGCGCAGTACTTACAAGTGAACGCGGACGGCTTGCGAACCGTGGTCACGGGCTGGCCACGGTTGTGCGAATTTTTCGCAGCTGCGGGAGCGAGCGGCAACACCCGAGGCGGCCAACCCTGCAGTGGTCGTCCAATCGATTCACACCGTACGGTGTGCGGCCGGCAAGTTTTTAGTAACGGCCACCACCGAACGGCATGCGTACAATCGTTCGTGGTCCAGTTCGATGCGGCCGGGGCGTTCACGGTGGTCGCGTCCGTCGTGCAGCACGCAAAGTGTCTCGCGACAGCCGCCTCCGCCACCACCCGCGGACGTGGACTGCCTCGACGCCCGGGCCGGCCACGCTGCCGCCGACCAGCCGACCTCCGTCGACCAACCGCTCAAAGCCGTCGACTGACCGCTCGCCCAAAGTCATCGCCTGACCACCCGCCCAAAGTCATCAACTGACCGCCCGCAGCCGTCGAACGATCATCAGCTGTTCGTCGGGTACACATTATGATCGGTGCGGTAATCGAACAGAGTTGAACTATGGTTTTGTGACGTTCAGTGGGCCCGAGGGGCGTTGAGGCTGCGCTTGTCAGTACACCAATCAAGTTGGTAAACGGCAACAACTTGGTTAAAGTTCACCGTCCCAAACGCCGGTTAGGTCACGGTAACGCGTCGAATAGTAATACCAATACGTCATCGTAGTTTGGACTGTTTGGAGCATATTTTAACGTGTACACCGAACCTATTTAGTATTTTCATCGTGCCACGATGTCGCGTTGTTTGTCGAAAACACTCGAAACATTAACGCACCAATGTACAACTTATCCATTAGTTGTCGTCAACGTGCTCTCAATAATAAATTATAATTACTAAAATATTATATTTGATAAGCAATAATATTTTTTAAAATATACAAAATTATTTCAGTAAGCGGAATGCACTTTCACAGATTTCTTTAATATGCCTGCAGTATGAGAAGAGGCCCGTACAATTTCACTCCAGAGCTCAAATTTTTAAGTTACGCCACTGAAATCCATTGTATTGCGATATTTTGCAAAAAATACATCACGTACCTATTATTGTTATTATATTATATTTCATTACACAAAATATCGGAAACAGATCCTCGACGAAATTGAGGTAGCCGAATAGCTTATTCTTAACACCATCCGATGTAAGAAATAATACATAGTATTAAGGTGGTTAGAACTATTAGAAGTAACAGTAGCATTTTTCACAATTTGTTCATAAAATGAACGAAAATTGTTGCAATTAACAAGAAATTTTCGACAAACGACGGTACAAATAATAAATTATAATGCACAATAAGTTATCGTCGATGGCAAATATTTTATCATAGTTAAGTCTTTCTGCTAATGATTAAGAAAAAACAGAATATACAACTAAACAAGTAACAACGTACTGTTAAAAAAAATATATATTATTCTAGTATATTTTTAATTTTTTTCCCCAATTTTTAAGCCATGATGAATAAATTTAAATGCATTTTTATCGTGTATTCTTAAAGTTTTTTAAGTCATTTTTGTATATTTTTTCAAGAGTATTTTTTGAGATTTTTTAGGGCATTCAAATTCCAGCCCTTATTATAACTTGTTATGTAAATTTAGGTAATCTTGCTCCTAAAATACCTTCTACAGAAACCAAAACTAAACTTTTAGGAAAAAGTATATGGACAGTGTTTTTTAAATAGGTAGGTACTTGAAAAAGTATTCTTTACAACACTGTAATTATTTTACCTAATTTGCATTAATTATGTAAATCAAGTAAAAGGAAAAAAAATCACACACATAAATTACCTACTACAGTAGTCAATCTCAACTTGCTAGCTCTTTTTTTATTTTCATATTATTTTTCAATCGATACATTTATTTTTAAAAGCAAATTGACTTTCCATATTAGATATTTAACTAAAAACACAATTAACCGATAACAGGTATTAGTACAACGGTTATCTGATTATTATTTTAATAACATTTTTTTTTTTTGTATGATATTTTAATCAGAATATTCTGATTTCTTGACAATTATTGAAACATCGATTTGATTATTATTTTTGTAACATTATTAATACAAAAAATTCAATGTTTTAAATCAATTAATAAAATTTAATTATGATTTTTTAAACTTAGATATATAAAAATATTTAAAATTTACATAGCATTATAAATATTGAAATACTTTTCAAACTTTAAGAATATTTTTAGTTTCTAATTTGAATTAAAAATTGATAAAAAATTTATATTTATATTACACATTTACTAATTACAGTTAAACATAGGTACTTATTAAATAACTAGGATGATAATTGACTGTCTATAGATTTTAAAGAAACTGTAAAACCTGTAACAAAAACATAAACAATGTTAATTATTAAAAGATTAAACATTTTATTGACAAAAAGTTGACCTGAACTGGAATCATCATCATTTTCTGATGAAGGAACAGTTTTTGAAGTAGAAGCTTGAGATAACATATTAATTGGTGGATTATCATTTATTGGTTCTGAAGTTTCTGTTGACCCCAACAATGTGTCATTTTTATTGAACCAAAAGTTAACTTTAGTCGCATAGTCACAATCAGAATCGTCATTAACATCAGCATTCTCATCTTCATTCTCCCATTCAGATAAGTCATCTATATCCCATGGGGATAGTATTATAGGAGCTAGATGATCTACATATGATAACATTTTTTCTTTTGACATACTCCAAAAATTATTTTTTTTAATATTAATTTCCTCATGTATGACAGGTGGTTCTAATTTCCAAAGATTACTCATATTAAATATACATGAATAATTTAACTTTGGAAGAGTTTGAGATTTTATTGTAACATTTTTATTAAATTCAGTAACATCTATTGGTGTATTATCATTTACTTTTTGAACAAACAAATCTCCAGCAGAATTAATACTATATAGTTTTAAATCTTTAATATTTTCACCAATAACAGTAATACCAGTTAAACACCGTGAAAATCTATCAAATAATATTGGATTTAAGCAATGCCCTTGAAGTTGAACATTATGCAATGATTGTAATGGATTTGGAATTGATGCTGCAATACTTTGACACAATAGAAAGTCATCTGGATATGAAGTGTAAGGTAAAGAAACAAGACTTTCACCTATTTGGTTTCCCAAAAACAATATTTCACATGAATCAAAGCTAAAAAAAATGTATTTAAATTTTAAAAGTTAATATATATTTATTTTGTATTCTATATATATGTAAACATTTATAGTCACTTGTTTTCATAACGATGTATATTAATTAGAGATGGAGGATTTGAAAGCATATGATATGATTTACTTACAAATCCCATTCTATTATCAAACGTTAAAACTGAATGGTTGGAAGTCACATAAATACTATGATTATTTAAATAACTACTTTTTAATGTAATTAATTCTTCACATGGTTCTATAATAGTAGTTGGATCATAAATAGAGCAAGGTTTAGAAATATCAACCTAAAAAGTAAAAAATATTAACAAGTATATATTATATTTTTTAGGGCTCAAAACTTTAACATTTTAATAATTTTTCTTAATTTTTTTGTTTTATTTTTTTTTAAATTATTTATTTATCAATAACATTTTTATTAATGGATTTAAACATAATATTCTCGTCATATAAAAATACTTATAATAACTAGAATTGTAAATATTGTAATTTAATTGTAAAATTGATATTATTATGTATCAGTTCAGTTTTGTAAAATATTTTTAACCTATGTTTGAAAGGTTTTTAGTTTTGATTACACTGAAAATATTGAAAAATAAAAAACTAGAGTTTAATATAGTTTTTTAAACAGCAAGTTTTCAGCCCTAATATTTTAAATATTAAAGTACTTTATTTTAAACTGCTAAAATTTGAGCTGAAAATTATACATACTCGAGCATCTATTAAGTAGAATTTTTGTCTATTGATAACGCCAACTAAATTAGATTCATTTTGTAAATAACTTAAATGTATAAAAGAATCAGTTTGATCATATACCACGTCAAAATATTTGTCTTGAGTACAATTTCTTTCAATAACAATTCAAATATTTTATTAATGCTTACAATTTATTTTATGATTTACTGCAATAGAAAATATTGAAATACATTACCCATCTTTCCATAATTTAATAAAATGTTTCACATCGGCAGTACAAAAATTATTAGCTATCACATCAGCATCAGTAAACGGTATATCACAGTTATCATAAACTGAATTGTTATTTAACATAAATTCTGAATCAGAATTATTCCAAAATATAAATAATTTGGTTTTTTGACGAATCATTAAATCTAAAACAGCAAAAATTAAATACCCAGACATTTATAAATAACGATGTATCTTAAAATACTCTTAAGTATATATACTTTGGATAAATGATAATTTAAACTTATTATAATTGTATAGGTACATTTTATAATATTACCATTTAAAGTTGAAGATTTTATGTCAAAAATTGGACCTTTAAAATGCTTGTCTTTCTTACTTTGAATTAATTCAAATTTATTATCACAAATCGATATAATATCTAAAATAGTAAAATTATAAAAGTTTAATGTTTTGCAACTTAATTTTACAAAATAAAAGACACAAAAAACTAACAGATCTAAATAAAAATACAGTTAAAACAAAAAAATTAGTATCTGTAAATTAAATGAAACATATTATCATTACTTATATTGTTATGGTTTAGAGTTATACATACACACTTACACACTCACATAGTTACCTAAAGTATCAAGGTTTACTTCTCTGGCACAAGCTAATGCCCATTTTCCATTAATTTTAAATTTTTCAATAGTATTACCGAAATACCAATTATATTCCTAAAATGAAATAAATATAAAATAAATAATTTTAATACATTTTTTTTTTTTTTAATTAGGCATTTTAAAAAATAGTACTAACAAACATTAAAATATATTGGTATTTTAATAATTTACTATATTAAAATCATTAAAATAAGTTAAACTTATTACTTACAGAATCAAAATATTGATCAGGATTTTTCATCAAATTTGAAGTAAAACAAGTTAAAACATATGGCATTTTTGAATATATAGTTGATTTTTTTGAACTTAAAGTTGTTTTTATGGAATTCAAAGTATCAATACTTACTAAAAATAACAATATGAAGAATTATAAACTGTAATAACTTGTTAAAAATTAAAAATTAATGGGTAATACATTTTTTTTTGCATAATCCTAGTAACCGTTCATTTTCTCGTTTCCATTGTATTTTTAAATTAACCATGTCCAAAACTGCATTAATTTCTGTGATTATATATATATAAAATGTTAATATAATTCAAATAAATAGTTGAATTTTATAATCTATTTTATAAATATATTACTTGGGTCGATGTCTGTAAATGTAATACATGGTACTGGTAGATTGAAACGATCAGGTGCAGAATAATACTGAATAGCTTCATTGCTGTTTTTGATACTACTCAGTGAATATGTATTTAAACCTGGCAAATAATAATGTGGTACATGACCCAAAATGTTCTTTGCTCCTTTTTCTTGATGTCCATCAACTGGATGTACAGTTATTTGATTTCGAGACATAGTTTTGAAAATCTAATGTGAATTAAGAATAAAATTACAAAATTAACTTAAAATATTTAAAGTATATAAGAAGACAAGAAATACTGAGTTTAAATATCTATTTAATTTGTACTTACTTCATAAAACTGTAAACATATACTGTATCATTGCAATTGTCACAGATTATCTATATTAAACCAAATTTATTCTATTCTGTTACACAACCTCAAGTACTTACATAAAAACATAAAACATTCTTACAAGTAACAGACTACATAAGTCTGAATTCTGATTTTATTAAATTAAATTTTTGTTTTTCTAATATTATCATTTATCAGTGTTTAACAATTGCCGCCATTTGAGATTGATAACATTAAAAAATGATTTTTCTTTCATGGAATTCTTTGTTGAATTAATGATAAATTTTAGCGCCAAAATTCTATTATTCGGAGATAAAAAATGTCAGAACATTATACATTGTAGGTACTAGGTATATTCTATCAAGTTTATAAACATAGCCACTCTAAATTCTATGACAACATATAAATATATTAAAGGTAGCCTATAGGATACCCAAGGTACAAAATACAAATAACAAGCGATATTCAAAACACAGTACAGATTAAAATATTAAGCATGTTGAGAAACTAATTTAGAAAACAAATTAATTTTTGTATTACTCGTAAGTACTTAATATGTTTTTTTTTTTTTTTAAATATGTATTAATTTTAAAATTTAAAATTTTATGTATTCTATCAGGCCTATAAAAATCATAAAATTTCATAATGTGGAACGGTATAACAATTGGTTATAGTTCAGCCGATGAGACTATAAACTTTGGTACTCGTGCTGTAGCTATTGGTGACAGCAGAATATTTGAAACAACCACTTTGGCCACAATAAAAAGAACTTGTGATGAAAAATGTGTATCCAAAGAAGACCTAAAAATCAGTGCTATGTGTACACATGATTTAATGTACATTTCAGGAGGCCATTCTTTTATTTCATTTAATACCAGTATTACAGAAATTAATCAAACTTTTGGATTTCCTAATCAAATAGTGGATGCTAAAATATCAGATGATGGATGTTATTTAATAGTGTTATTATATGATTGGACTATATACTGCTGTTCATTTACAAACCCAAGGATTTTATTTATCAAGTATATATAAATACTTTTATTTTGAATATTTAAATTAAAAATTAATAATAAATAAACTAATTAATTTACATAGGCAAATCAATTAAAAAAAATTTTTTTTTTATCACTTAATTATTTACCTATGATAATTAGATTAGAAGTTAAATTTTAATATAAAGGTAATAAAAAAAAACTTGAATAATCTATTATGATGATCACTGAAAAGCAAATTTCAATTTTCACGAACTAATTTTTTTTCTCAATCTGTTTAAATTCAAATTGAACATGAGTCTCATATTTTTGTTTTCTGTTAAAAAATAATTACAGCTTCATGATTATCAATAAGAATAGATATTATTATTTTAATGAATCATTCATGTCCACTATTAATATGAAATAAAATATAAATCTAAGAAAAAATCAAAACTTCTATTTTATCATTTTCATCGGATAATTTATTTAAATACTAAATAAATGATACATCAAATAAAATATATTTTAAATTCATGTGAAATTAAAAATTCTTTTATATAAAAATGTACATGCAATTGATAATCATATTAAATTTTGATTAATAATAATAATATATTTTAATATGTAATTTTAATTCCAGGAGAGTATCGAAAAATCCTCGTTGTTTGCCCTCAGAAATGGAATCACCTGTAGGTCTGTTCTTTTTGCATAAAGAAAATCATTTCTATATTACAGTTATCACATCATCTGGATTTATTAATAAGTAATAAATATATTGAAAAACAATTTTTAATTTTTAAATCATTAAATTAATCATACATTTAAATGATTTTAAGATTTATTTGTGCTAATGTCATGGAGTTATTGGAGAAGTCTGTTCTTGATAATGATTTTAAAAATATAGAAAATCTTATAACTTTGAAAACATTTGATATCCATGAAAATGTAAGTTTAAGTAATAAATATTATATGTGTATTTAATTACTTTGTTTAACTTTAATAGGTAAAAACGGTGTGTGGAATGTATGATAATATTTTAATTGCTGGTGACAGCATTTGTTTGTATGAAGGAGAAAATATGAGATCTAAGGAATTTTTATTCCCAGACAATTGTAAAATTAAAAAATTTGTTTTCACTCAAGATAAAAGGTAAATGTAACTATTTAATTAATTAATTGTAGTGCTTTTACAATTTACAATTCTATTTTTAACATCTATTGATGTCATGGTTAAATTTTTGATTATGCACTAGTAGTATAAGCATGGTTTATATATAAAATATGAATTCAACAATTTTAAAATTATAATATTGTGTTTACAATTAAAATATACTATTACAGTTTCATAATTTGCCTTACTGATTCAAAAACTATGTTATTGGTATGTGCGTTTACATTTTTACCAGTTAAAGAATGGAACAAGGTGCATATTAGTGATTTTACTGTGATTCAAGAAATGGGTACTACAAGTGTTCTTCTGTTAACTGATGAAATACAGCCTTCATTGATGCTAGTTTCAATGCCAGGTAATTTGTTATTGATTAATAGTTGTTATTAAATAAAATGTTAAAGTATTTTTCTAAATTTATTTGGGTTTAATATTTCTTTTTTCTTAAAAGATTTTGAAAATGTGAACAATTTTAGTTTTAGATTGTTATATATTAAATGTTGTAAAAACATACTGAATTTATTCATAATAAAATGCCCCCACCATAATAGTTGCAAACAAGTTGTGATTTTCAAAATTACTATAAACATATTTATCTTTATTGAAGTCTCGTAAAAATCTAGCAATAGACATTATTCCTTGATCTTTTTTCTCTCCAATTTCAACTATGCAAACAATTTTATACCTGAAATAAAAACTTAAATATATTTTTGTAATATTGAACCTATTCTGAATAAATATTTATTTTTTTTGGTAATAAATTTATTTGTATAAATGTTATGTTTTATGTATACTACAGCATTTATACTTTGGAATATATCTGGGTGGTATAAAAGAAGAACTTTATAAAGTCATACATTTGTGCAAAGTTATAGCAAGGATTGATAAGTTAATTTAAATTCTAGTTGTTAAAAATTATATTAATAACATTCATGAATTCTCCTGCTATATTTAATCAATTAATCAACTAAATGTATTGAATTAACATATGGTACCATAGCAACAATAATAAAATAATTTCCTTTCTTGAAAAAATAACATCAACATATTATTAACTATTAAATTTTAAATTGAGAAATAACTTTACTTAAAATTTATATTGATATACTCTAGAAAAAAAAAAGAAAATATCATAAATAAATAATTACTTTATAATTAATAATTGCCTGCCTTAGCTTAGTATTTATAATATTATTTATTATATATATTTACATATTCATAACCCGAGTTTGAAAAATCTTTTAATGGTTTTTATTGGTTAACTTGATTAATAAATATATTTTTTTAAATAATTAAGGCAAGTTAGGTTTTATTTTAAGTTAGTTAAATTATAATTGATTACGTAATATAAAAATGTTTTTAAACACATTTATAATAAAACAAATAATTCAAACTCAAGTTGGTAGATGCGTACTTTTTTAAACAAGTTATTTAAAATAGCATTTTAATTTAATTAATTATGAAGATCTGTATAAATAATAATATAATTTGATTGGAACATTTTACATGCATAAAAAAGTAATATTTACTGTAATTAATTTGGTAAAAAATGTATTTTCATAAAATTTATTTAGTTAAATCATTATACTATATAATATCTACAATTAATTTAAAATTTTAAACCATTGGTGATTCCACTATGACTATAATTTATCTTAAATATATAGGTATGGATAAATTTTTTAAATTAAAATATTTTACCTTTCAAAATCTAAGTCATAAATACCATCTCTAATCCTTAGTGACATAGTTGCAGCGATTTTTGTTGCTTCATCTGGATCATATTTAGTTTCATTATTCAAATGTTTCATTGTTTCATTTTTTATGATGGTCAAAGCTTTGTTTTCATTGAATGGGTTTTTTGATTCCATTCTATATGTATTCTGATATTTAACGAGTTTATCTTCTGAAGGTAATTCATTTTCAGTTTTATTAGCTAATACATCATATACATCTTTTATTAATGTATCCATATTTAAATGTTCCTTAATGTCATAATATTACTTGAATACTGAAACAATATAAGTATTGATCTAACATACACACACACAAACACACATATGCATGTGTTTATTAACAAAAGTTCAATGTATAGTAACAATAAAATAAGTAAAATAAACATGAATATTTTACAAATATATAGTATGATAATTAATTAACTAATAAACATATTGAAAAGATTTTATGTTTTAACAAATTATATAAAAATATTGGTATGAATAATTTGAAATGAATGTGGTAAATAGAAAAAATATTACAAAATAATTGTTAGAATTTTGATAGGTAATTCATTAATTTTTCGTACAATTTCAAAATAGATAAAGAGGACGCTACACACATTTATTGTTTCTGTCTTACAAGTGCATAACTTAGACAATTTACATTTAGCAAATTAGGTTTAGCTTTGTTGGTTTAAAAATTAGAGTGAATTAACCTCTAATGAAACTTGATGATAAGAAATTTTTCTATATTTTTATGTGGGTTTTTACAATAATTCAATTTTTTAAGTGAGTTATGAGCATTTTTAATTTACTATATTTTACATACGCAAAACTTCCTAAAAAATTGAACTATCATGAAAAATCCACATACAAACACAAATAATCTTCTTACCATTAAATTTCATTATTGATCAATTGATTCTAATTTTTAAACTAACAAAACTAAACCTAATCTACTGAAAGTAAATTTGCTATGTTATACATTTGTAAGACAGAGACAATACATGTCTATAAGTTTAATATAAATTCATAATATCTATAATATAGTAATATTTATAGTTATGTAGTATGAATATTGAATATATTGAACATTCGATAACTTGATATATATTACAATTGGTTTTTTTAATTTGTTTATAACATCAGATTTTTAGATCACAGTCAAAAAATTTAATTCACGATTAAAATCATCATAATATTATAATTAGTATTTTTTGTTTTGATGTACTTTTTATAATAATTTATCTAAGTACATTATATGGATTGCCATTTTGTATGTAGTTTAAAATTAAAAACAAACAAAAATAAGGAATGCAAAAAGTGTAATAAATTACT